ACGTGTTCAGGTTTGTTACGGTAAAACACCTCATGAAAATACACAAACGATTTCTGAATGTTAAAAAATTTCAGAACACTCCAAAACTGCCCCAGGCAATCTCTATTACTCCTTGTGTGACTGAATTGTAATGCTGGTTTCACTGGCAGATTTAGCTGTAAGTACACCTGTTAGCCTTTAGCTATCACCACACAAGCTATTTAAGAATGTCAGAAGGAACGTAAGAACATGAGTAGGCCATTCAGTCTGTTAATTAGATTGCAGCTGATCATTTACCTCAGCACCAGTTTTCCATGCAACTCCATCCTGTTTGGGGTCATAGTATCCAGAAATCTATCAATTTCTGCCTTGAACTTGCTCAATTGTTGGGTTAACGCAGTCCTCTGGTGTAGAAAATTCCAAAGATTTGTTACTATCTAAGTGAGGAAATTCCTCTTCAAGTCAGTATGAAATGGCTTATTCAGAGGTGATGTCCCCTGATTGTAATGTCACCAGTGGGGGAAAATTCTATCTACACCCAAACTGCAACAATTTTGTATGTTTCAATTAGATTTTATTTTTCAAAAATGAAGAGAATATAGAGTCTTTTTTCTCAGTCTTTCCTCAACAGACAATCCTGCCATCCAAGAATTAGTTTGGTGAACCTTTGTTGCACAAGTTTCCCCAGTTCCTTTGTTTGGATATTAAGATATCCCAACCTCTTGCCATGTAAGAAATATTCTGTATTTCTGTTTTGTCTACTGTAACTTCACAGTTATTTAAATTACATACGCAATATCCTTTTCATTCACTTGGTCTGTCTAAATCCCCTTGAAGCTACCTCCATCATCGTTAAAGTTTAAATCTCTATCTAGTTTGTGTCATCAGAAAATTTGGCAATATTTCATTTGGTCCCCACATACAAACATTGGATATAGATTATTAACAGCTGTGGCACAAGCACTAATTCTTGCAGTGCACGCTAGTAATCCTGAAAATGAACCATTTATTCTTACCATCTGTTTTCTGACTTAACTAACTATCAAGCCATGCCAATATATTACCCCTAATCCTATGGCCTCTAATTTTGTTTACTAACCTCTGTTTAGGACCTTATCAAAAGCCTTCTGGAAATTTTGGCACAACCATCTCAACACCCTGAAAAAAAGACTCCAAAAGCTTTGGCATGCATGATTTACCTTTTATAAATGAATTTTGACTCCATCCAATTTTATTATTATTTTTTAAATGTCTAGTTATCACAGCCTTCATAATAGATTCCAATATTTGCCTTACTTTCGCCAGAAACATTTGCCAAATATTTTTTGTCATTTATATAAATGATTTGGATGTGAGCACAGGTGGTACGGTTAGTTAAGTTTGCAGATGACACAGAAATTGGTGGTGCAGTGGGCAGCTAAGAAGGTTACCTCAGACTACAACGGGACCTTGACCAGAAGGGCTGGTGCGCTGAGAAGTGGCAGATGGAGTTTAATTTAGATAAATGTGAGGTGCTGCATTTTGGAAAGGCAAATCAGGGCAGGACATATACAGTTAATGGTAAGGTCCTGGGGAATGTTGCTGAACAAAGAGACCTAGGAGTGCCAGTTCATAGTTCCTTGAAAATAAAGTTGCAGGTAGACAAGATAATGGAAAAGGAATTTGGTATGCTTGTCTTTATTTGTCTGTGCATTGAGTATAGGAGCTGGAAGGTCATGTTGCGGCTGTACAGGATATTGGTAAGGCCACTTTTGGAATATTGCATTCAATTCTGGTCTCCGTACTATAGAAGGATGTTGTGAAACCTGAAAGGGTTCAGAAAAGATGTACAAAGATGTTGCCAGAGTTGGAAGTTTGAGCTGTAGGGGGAGGCTGAATAGACTAGCGCTATTTTCCCTGGAGTGTCGGAGGCTGAGGGGTGACCTTATAGAAGTTTTTAAAATCATGAGGGGCATAATTAGGTTGAATAGCCAAGGTCTTTTTCCATTTTTATCTTTCCTTCTTGTCTTAATCAGTGGGACTGCATTTGTTACTTTTCACACCACAGGAACCTTTCCAGAATCTAGGGAACTTTGAAAGATAACTGCCAATAAATTTATTATCTGCATAGTCACCTCCTTCTACATTGTAGGATGTAGTCCATTTGGTCCAAGGGATTTATTGTCCTTCAACCAAGTCCGACTTCTTTATTGATACTAATTTCTTTCATTTCCTCAGTTTTGCAAGGGCCATTGTTTCCTGACATTTCTAGGAGATTTTCTGATTTTTCTCCTTGGATAAAGACACAAAGTAACTGTCTTTTTTAATTTTCCTATTCTCCATTATAAATTCTCCTTTCTATGCCTGTCCTTACTTGTCCTTTTTCCTTTTCCAAGTGATTATCCTTAACACAAAATGGCCCCCAAGCATGTGCAGGTGTGGGCTGTGACATCAACTGGCCACAACAGGCTCCTGAAGCAACTGTGTATGACAATTGTCATCATCACACTCCGTATATAGTGCCATTTGTACTGAGGTTGTTGCAACTTCACATGCACTGCTGATGTTGCTCCCCTTCTCACTGGTAGAGAAGGAGGAAGAGGTTGAGGAGGAGACTGGGCTGATGGAGAGACAAAGGATGTGGCTCATGAAACGAGGAGACTCATGAGGCCAGAGATGTTGGGACTGACAAAGGGGAGCTTCCCCACAGTGATGTCATCTCTTCAGCTGCCCTCCTTCACTGCCTTCCTCAATCTGGGAGGCCATGCCTAGCTATTGCTGCATATCCGAAATCTGAAAACGGAGTTAGTCAGTAAGAGCAATTGAAAAAAGGGACACCAATGCAGCAGCAGCCCCAGCCCAAGGCCTCTTGTTACTGGAAGAGCTCAATGTCAGACAGTGCAGTGACTGGAGGGGGCTGGGTGGCAGGGTAAATGAGGTGAAGGACTGGCAGCCAAGGATGGGAAGGAGAAGCTCCTCTTCATTAGCTCCAGGCTGCAACTCCACTTTGTTAGGCCTTGGATCACATCTGAGCAGATGCTTTCTAGTGTTTTTCGTTGCTTTGTAATTACATCGAGGGTCTCTTTGCATGCTCACAAAAGTGGTGTTTAAGTATTCACAGCCTTTATGTTCTATCCAAAAGAAGCTTTCATTGCCTACCTTAGCATATCTCATTAGCTTCCATTCATATTCTCTTTTCCCATTATGAGTTCCTTGGTCATCCTCTGTTGATTCCAAATTTGTTCCAACTCTCTGGTTTACCACTTTTCCTGGCCACATTATAAACCATTTCCTTTGATTTAATACAACTTTAACTTCTATTCTTAATGACATTTGATCACTAGTGCACATCATTAAAACTGTAGAGGGTCACATTTTTGTGGATTTGGGAAGATTTTCAGATTTTCGGGAATGCTACCTGGGATCTCAATGTGGAAATTCTGCCTTCATTTTAAACAGATCCAATTTTGCCAGTAAGGGAAAGAGAGCAGAGCATAAACATAAAGGGGGGATACCTAATTCAGTAGGAGAATTTATCTCACTCGTAAGTTAAACAAGGTGACATTTTAGCTGTTGCTTGGGCCTTTGCCCATAGTGTGGGAGTTATGAATTGATGGAGTAGCCATAAACATGCTTAAAGAATGGGTAAGGTCTGTACCACTGTCATGATTTAAAGTTCTTTTTAAATTCCCTGTAGTTTAAACTTTGACTAAAAATAATACAGCTGTTAGTGAGAATTAAACAAAACCCTGTACTAGACTGCTTTGATTAAAAGGTGTAGATTAGAAAAAACCTCAGTGGCATCTATTTGTGAAGTTTCAATCGAGTTAATTGCTAATGAGAGCTAGTATTATGTCATTATGAATGCTTTGCTGAGTTTAAAAAGCTACAATTATCTTAGTGTGGGCTTCTGAACTCATAGTTTGATTAATGATTTAAAAGTTTTGTGTACAGATTAGCTGTCTTTCATGTGGGTTTTGAATGGATGTAGTTGTTTCTATAAAATATTTATAATTTTAATAGATTTAAAAGCGTTTTTAAATGCTGTTTTCACAAACAAGTATGTTGTATTGGGTGAAAGACGTGAGTTAGCATTGAGTTGGTATGAAATGTAAAGGGAGATATGAGTTATCATTGTGTTTATGTGGAGGATATGAGAGATTCTGGATGTGGTTGGAAAACATGAGTTGGTATGGGTGTTGTGAAAGGCCTGTGGGGTGACTGGTAGGCATGAGTTGGCATTGTGTTGATATGAGGGCCCAAGGGATCTTGGTCATAGATGAAGACTATTTAATGGCATGAAGGGTATGAGAGGCAATGATGCAGAGTGATGAGTGATTTGGCAGTGGGTTGGCCTGTAGAGTGGGTGGAGGGATGAAGAGGTGTGAGGGTGAGAGCTAGAGGGCCGAACAACATTTCAAAGAAAGACACCTTAGCACTCACCCACCCCTGTGACTGCAAACCCTCACCTTCCAGGATCTGTGAGATGGAATCTATCTTCCCACCATCCACCATGGAATAAAAATCACACATTTCAGTATGCACTTTACCACAGTGCATTTGGTGAGTTGGGAAATCTCCTGAATTCTGCCTCAATAACCAAATGTAGCCAGATACCTTGTAGCTCTTCTGACTTTTCAGTCGATAGAATAGGGAAATTGGTCTGATTGCGCTGCAAATCAAAAATTAACTTTGGAACATATGTGCTGGATCCCAATGGAAATATATGTAACCTTGATGTGGTTATTGAAGAGCCTCTAGAATAATCTATTTCACATAATGCTTTCTTATATTGTAGGTTCTGTCTTTATTTTCAAATTAACTTCAAACCTTGCTTAGACAGAACAATTTCAGAAAGGCATGTTTTACTTATGGTTAACTTTAATTTTCATGAGCACAGTTTCCAGCACTTCTACATAATACAGTGATACAATAGTTTTGACACAATTCATGCAATAAATTGAAGCACCCAATACAATTAGTAATTGTTTTTGTGTACCATGCTGTTATTATAGTTACTCACTGCTTGTTTTCAATTGTAGCTGATTTTGGCCTTGCAAAACAGAAACAAGAAAACAGCAAAATGACTTCAGTTGTTGGGACTATACTATATTCCTGGTAAGTATAAGGCTGGAATTTAACTAACACCTTTGTTTGGATCTTGATAAACTACAGGATGACTGTGTTTCACAAAATATAATATGTTCTAGAGCTGGCTTACTGCAAATTATTTTGAAAATCAAGTTTAATATAATTGTGATCTATTCATTCTATTAAATTTAATAATTAATTCACATTGACTTGAATTTCATACGGATTTTCTGCTAGCCAGACATTCATTATTCCAGTGTAGATGGGAGTTGCACATGCGGATCCTGTGAAATCCCAATCATAAGACTCTCCAAATGAATTGCCAGGGGAATTGAAGATTCCGCTAGGCAATTCCACCACACCTAGGAAGTTTCCATTTAAATCAGAGAATTTGGAGGGTCCTGACCAAATTAAGTAAAATAGCTATTCGGGATAATTTAGGCTGTTAATTATACAGTCTGACTCGTAAAGTAACTATTCAACTGACTTCATATTTACCTCACACACACCTAACTACACCAAACCCAGACCCCTTACGGACCCCAGACCCTGACACAACCTCCCTCTGGGACACAACACCCCCGATACCCACTGGAACCCAATGTCCCCTCCCCTCCAGGCACCCGACAACTCCTCTGGGTCATGACACACCCCTCAGACCCAAAATCCCACCCTTATCAGCACCTGATTCCCCTCTGTTAGACCCAACTCTTTCCATCCAACACCACAAACCCAACCATCCTGCCTCGTCTCTGGTCAAAACCGTCCAAACTCCTCAACCGTTTCCTACGCTGGAGCTGACCCAACCCCACCAGACCCGACCCAACCCCTGAATACCCCCATGTGTCAAACCAACATTGCACCCCACCATTACACCCAACCCGACTCCCCTGCCACTGGATCTGACCACATATTCCCATCTCCCTGCCGGACCTGAATCAAGCCCCACTGCCAAACCAACACCCACCCCCTCCATGATTTCTCCCACTCACCCTGACCTTCCTATAACTGCATCACTTATTGGGTCCCTGGGCCACCTCATGCCCGGCGCACTATCCACTTCCCTCCTCTTCTCACAACATTCTGCACACCTGTAGCTGGCACACTACCCCAGATGGCATCCTACCAAACTGACATCCTGCTTTCCTGACACCCTACACTATACCCATATGGCACCTTATCCTCCCAGCGTCCGAACATTACACATCCCTGACATACTCGATCTCTGACAATAGCTGTCAAAGTGGTTGTTAGGACCTTTACATTTCAGAATACAACAGCTGACTGCTGTGTTTTCCTTCCTCTGATAATTCTGTGCTGTGATAGAACTGTCAGAATGAAAGTATGTCTCTACATTTCTGACGGTGACGTGAGTGGATTCTGTGTGAGATTGTTCCTCCCTGGAAAATCTGACACATTGTATTTGGACACCTGCTTTAGTCTTTGGTTCATGTCTAAACTGTCAGGTGATTGATTTGTAAGTTCTTAGTTACCCTATTACACAGCAGTTACCAATTATGTTACAAATTTGAGATATTAGTAAACTTATGCTTGTCTTTAAGCAAGTTGGTCACCTGCTGGCTGGTTCCTGTTTTCAATTTTAGTTCTACAAAGGAATATGCATAAAATTCAACTCAACTTACATTTGTTTTGAAGTAATTTGAAATGAAAGGAATAAAGAGAGAGGCTCAATACAGACAAAAAATATATCGTCACCCAGGTCTGTAAACCAAAGAGGGTCACTGGACCCAAAACTTTAACTGTGCTCTGTCTCTTCAGATGCTTCTAGACCTGCTGAGTTTCTCTAGCAAATTCTGTTTTTTTTAAATTTCATATTCCAGCTTCCACAGTTTTGTTTATTTTAGCATTCAACTCATTTCAATAAAAGTTTATTTTGGTGAGCGGGGCTGCACACAAATGAGAGAATATCAAAATAGCAAACAAATCTCAGATAGGATTACCAATAGGTAACTGTAGTAAAACAAAAGAGCTTGCTTTTTCATGTCCTGAAGATCTCCAAAATGCAGCGCAAGATTGCACTTTTAATTTTATGTATCTGAATACATACATAGCAACACTGATGATGGACCTTGGCCATAGAACTTATATTATCTCTTTTTGGCAGATCCACAATGCTACAAAATTGAACAGACTACATTTGGTGGGATGGGGGAAATGGGGGAGTGAGGGATTGTGGGCGTGATTTGTAATGGTAATAAATTCACTTGTGTACACTTTTAACTTATTGTCTACTAATGATTCCATTCAGTCCAGAAATAGTGAAGAGCGAACCTTATGGAGAGAAGGCAGATATTTGGGCAGCAGGATGCATTCTGTATCAAATGGCGACTTTAAATCCTCCTTTTTACAGTAGTAACATGCTCTCCTTGGCAACAAAGGTAGGAATATTAAGCAGTCTCTCAGAATTATGAGAAAACTGTTTTGTAATTTAATATAGAATCAAGTAGCAAATGAAAAGTTAAATCTTTCAGCTGATGTGACATCTCTGAATTTGAAATATGATGAACTCAGCAACCAATTTATAAATGTATCTTTAAGATATACTTATAATACCTTTAAAACACTTTGGGATCTCCTGGGTGTGTGAAAGATTCTATACAGTCAAATTTATTCCTTGCTTTCTTGCTTCCTTCTTCCATTTCCCTGTTTCTCATCAATAGCAACCCATGAGCACCCTTTGACGTGTGATATAAATTCCATCATTTGAAACTTAGCATTCTTGTGTTTGTCCAAATGGGTACAGGACATAATGTGTGTTCAATGTGCCATGTACCAACATGTTCCTGTTTCAGATTATTTTATTTATCTTTACTAAAATGTTTACCTAGCTTATCTGCTAAAATCTTTCACTTTCTAGATTTTTAAAGACATTTCTCCACAGGTTGTTTAACCCAAGAACTATATCCTCATACTTGACTTATTAAACTATACTTTTTGCATTTGATTTGCCTTCCACTCTTTGGGCAGAATTTTCATGGAGCTGACCTGGTCACAATGAAGGTGCTGGCTGTGGGGTTGAAAGCCCTACCATCACAGTAGTGGGCTTTACAATTTTCGATTAACTCGGCCATGGCATTAGCATTGTCCAGTCTCTGGGTTTCCCAACCAATAAAGGAGTGCAGCTGTGATGAAAATCCATACCTGTCAATGGAAGGTTTCTATTTGAAGGAACCTCAGTAAGTGATAAAGTGATTCAGTCCCAGATTGATTCCCAATGTTTCAGTGACCACAAGAATGGAAACACAATGTTGGAAGGATGCCCTCCACACTGACGTTTTAGTTCTCTAACTCTTCCTTTGCTGATTCCCAGGCACAGGACGAAGAAGCCAGTCCCTTATACCAAACAACTACAGATGGAAGTGGTTAAGGAAATGCAGATGTGTGGTCACTCAGATGTGTCCTGTTCACAACACAATGGATAAATCCAACCTAAGCAGTTACCACCCTATCAGTCCACTCTTGATCATCAGCAAAATGATGAAATTGACTGTGCTATCAAGCAGCACTTGCCAAGCCTACTCAGCTTCTGACCTCATATCAACCTTGGTCTAAATATGGGTGAAAGGGCTGAACTCCAGAGGTGAGAGTAACTGCCCTTAACATCAAAGTTGTATTTGATAAAGTGTGACATCAAGGAGCCCTAGCAAAACTGGAGTCAATGGGAATCAGGGGCAAACTTTCCATTGATTGGAGCCATACCTGGCATAAAGGAAGATAGTTGAGGTTGTTGGAGGTCATTCATCTGAGCTCCAGGAAATTTCTGCAGGGGTTCTTCAGGGTAGTGTCTTTGGCTCAACCATCTTCAGCTGCTTCAGCAATGACCTCCTCTCCAGTATAAGGTCAGAAGTGGGAAGTTCACTGATGATTGCACAATATTCAGCACCATTCACAACTCCTCGAGCACTGAAGCAGTCCATCTTCAAATTCAGCAAGACGTGGACAATATCCAGGTTTCGGCAGACAAGTGACAAATAACATGTAACATTCACGCCACACAAGTGCCATACAATTATCATTTTCAATAACAGAGAGTGTAATTATGACTCCTTGACATTCAATAGCATTGCCATCACTGGATTCCCTCATGATCATCGTCCTGGTGCTTACCATTAACCAGAAACTGAACTGGACTAGGCCTATAAACATTGTGGCTACAGTAGCAGAGGCTATCAGAGGTCAGTAACACTGTAGCAAGTAACTCAACTTCTGACTGTCCAACATCTACAAGGCACAAGTCAGGAGTGTGATGGAAAACTCCCCACCTGCCTGGATGAGTGCAGCTCCAAACACACACAAGAGGCTTGACACAATCCAGGACAAAACAGTATGCTTGTTTGACCTGACATCTGTAAACATTCAGTCACTCAACCACCAACAGTCAGTAGCAGCAGTGTGTGCTATCTGCAAAATGCACTGCAGAAATTCACCAAAGATCCTTTGACAGAACCTTCAAAACCCCAAGTGACCACTACTTTCTAGAAGGACAAGGGCTCTGGATAGATGGGAACAACACCACCTGCAAGTGCCCCTTCAAGCCACTCACTGTCCTGACTTGGAGATACATTGCCCATTCCTTCACAGCTGTTGGGTCAAAATCTGGAATTCTCTCCCAAAGGGCATTGTGGGTCTACATATAGCACAGGACTGCAGTGGTTTAAGAAGGCAGCTCACCACCAACACCTTCTCAAGGACAAGTAGGGATAGCAGTAAATGTTGGCTCAGCCAGCAATGCTCACATTCCACAAGTGAATGAAAAAATCAAAGCTAATGATTGCTTCATACCATCAACGTTATGAATGAAATTTGGAAAGATTTTATGTTTTGAAAATTGCCTTTTAATTAGTTAAATATAAACCACTGATATATTTGCATTTTTACACTTACTTAACACTTGCCTTTCTTGCAGTGTTTTTGGCATTTTCTTGCTGGTCACCTGCATTTTGTTCTGTGATCTGGAACCAGATTTCCTGCACATGTGTACCCAATATACCACCACTACCACGATGATATGCGTTTTGTTTCCAGCAATCTATAACTGATGTGGCAATGCTTAATATCCCCAATAACATAAGAAACCAGGGCATGGGGAATGTGGTATTGAAAGACCTTTCAGAAATTTATTTGCAGCTCGAATATTCAAATATTATTCAAATATTCACAGGCATATCTTTCTCTGGGTTAACATTAAGCTATTCGGTTACGAAGAGTAGCCATGCTTCCATCAGCTTGTTATGCTTCAAGTGGCCCAAATTAAGATAGAGTCTCAGACCTTTGCACCCTCAGTTCACATATTATGGTGTGATAATGATATCACAAGCATGTCTCTTAAAGGTATGTTTACATACCAACTATCATATATAATACAACAATATTCTGGAGTATTGATACATACAGTTAACCTATTAATTCACTTCTCGACATAATGACTTTTTAAAAGAAATTCAACATGTAATATAAATCACACTACTATGTCTTCATCTTTTTCTGCACTGGATGTCAAACAGATCACTTTTAAGTTTCTGAAATATATAACAACTTTGTACTTTTGTACTGATTGTTTTACCACATTATTTAAGAATTACACCTTGACAATTTTTTGGACAGAATTAAAAGTCAAACTTTGCAAATTGGCATTGGCATAAAAAAAGAAAATAAGCATCATAAACAGATTACAATAATATCATAATGACATAATAAAGAGAAATGAAAAGACCATTAAACAATGCAACATGGCCCCCAGCTCTTTTTCCTTCAGTTTCTTCCAACAATTCATTCTGCTCAATAAAAACCAAAAGAACTGCAGATGCTGTAAATCAGGAACAAAAACAGAAGTTGCTGGTAAAGCTCAACAGGTCTGGCGGCATCTGTGAAGAGAAAATCGGAGTTAACATTTCGGGTCCAGTGAGGAAGGGTCTGGGGAAGAGTCACCAGACCCGAAACATTAACTCTGATTTTCTCTTCACAGATGCTGCCAGACCTGCTGAGATTTTCCAGCATCTCCCGTTTTCATTCTGCTGAATGTTGCTTCTACTCATTCTTCTTGATATCCCTTAGGGTAAGAGGGAAACAAACTATCCCATCTCCGGGAACAACTGGTATATGCAGAATCTGCAAAGTTAGAACAAAATCTTTTAACTCTTGCCACACTCTGCCTGCATACTACAGTTATTTTGAACAGTTCTGGAAATAACCAAACATTTCTACAATCACAGCAATAGCCGGTAGAAATAAATTAATTGCTAAACTGAAAGCAGTAAATGAAGCTGTGATAACCCCTGTAAGGCCCATGGGGAATCACTAATTAACGTATGAGTTCCTGGCCCAGGAGGCCCAGGTTCAAGTCCCACCTGCTCCAGGGGTGGGTAATAATATTGCTGAACAAGTTGATTAGAAAAATAGGTTAAATTAAAATAAACACATACACAGGGCTATGGAGGAGGTCATCTCTGCTGATTGTCTGCCCCTTTTCCATGGTTTCTTTCAAGCCCGGTTTCATTGGAGAGGGAGAAATAGTGTCCACCAACACTCTCAATGCTTTTAGAGAGAGAGGGGGGCACCATGGGGGATGCAGTGCTTTATTTACCCCTCCAACTCCATTTTGATATAGTCCCTTCCCTCTCTCCCTATGACTCCCTCACTTTTGATGGTTTGCATTGCCCATAATGGGCTTTGCTTATAAATATTTAATCGGCTACAAGGGTGTTTTATTGCTAGTGGTTACTAGTTAAACAAAAATGCAAAAAAAGGTCATGGTGATTTTGGTGGTGGGAAGTTCGCTCAGATGAATGTAATAGCACTGCTGGATAGAAAAATAAAGCAGATCCAAGAATGTGGAGGGGGTCATCTCTGCTGACTGTCTGCCCCTCTTCTGTGGTTATGTTTGTGACCGGGTGCCCTTGTAAATGGCGCATGCAGTGCCTATCAATGCTGTTGATGTCTTTAGAGAGAGGTGGACACTGTGGGGGGCTACAGTACTTTATTTCCCCCAGCAAATACCTAAATGCATTTTGCTGCTGACCCTGTTGATAGCACTACTGCTGCATTCACAGAGATCCTCTTGACTTGGCACAAGATTTAAACTAACAGTGGAAAAGGGAAGATACATGCCACAGAAATTGCTAGAATGTTACAGGCAGCTCTCATTAAGGTCAGTGGGGATCACCATTGCTTTGTCACTGATGGCTGAATCTGACCCATTGTGTGAAGCATAGTTTAAAAGTCATTTTTTCAGCAAAGTAGTATGGAGGACATTTAGTTCCACTCAGTGCCCAGGATTTCTAGCAGAAAACTTTTCAGTGGGAAGTTATTTAAAGGTACATAATGTCAGCAATATTTTCAGATTTGCCAGGAGGGGGATGACATGTCAAATGGCCCTCTTCTGTGCTGTTACCATTCTATGATTCTATAATTCTATAAATCTATTAGGGGCTTCTGTAAGCTATTCCTGTCTTTTGTTTCTGTTGGTTGTTGCAACAGTTCCTAAGTACGTAGGGTTAATATTGACAGTAGACAAAAAGATTTCTTTTGGCTTTCCCTTCCCTATGAATAATTTTCTGAACTTTATTTTTAACAGATTGTAGAAGCAGCCTATGAACCAGTACCAGAAGGACTCTATTCTCACAAAGTTTTCGAAACTATTAAAAGGTAAGAGCATAAGGCCATAAGAAATAAGAATGGAAGCTGTCTATTCTTCCCTTCTAGCCATCTCCATCATTCAATGTGGTTGTGACTGATCTTTTACCTCAGCTGTACCTTCTCATCTGTAGGTTAGTATCCAGAAATCTTTCAATCTCTGTCCCAAACGTATGGGAAAATTGAGCATCCACAGCCCTCTTGTAAGAAATTTTAAAGATCCATAACTGTTCGGGCAAAATAGTTTCTCTTCATCTCATTCCTAAATGGTCAACCCCTTGTTCTGAAACTTTTGCATGTGGTTCTAGATTTTCAAGCCAGGTAAAGTATCCACCCAGTACCTACTTTATCAAAATTTTCTTTGTTTGAATGAGATCAGTAATTATTCTTCTAAATTATAAGAAGTATAGGCCCAGCCTACTCAAACTCTTGGTATTTGACAATGGCCCCATCCTAGGATTCAGTCTGGTGAACCTTTATCACCTTGTCTCCATGGCAAGATATTCTTCCTTGGGTAAGAGTATCAAAACTGGAAACAGTATCTTCCAGATGTGAAATTACCAAGACCCAGAACAATTGCAGTAAGACTTCTTCACTCTTGTTCACCAAACCCTTTTCAATAAATATCAGTATATCGTTTGTTTTTCTAATTGTTGGTGCACCTTTTTTCTGTTTATTCACTCACGGAATGTGGCTGTCACTGGCTGGGCCAGCATTTATTGTCAATCCTTAATAGCCCTTGAGAAGCTACCATCTTGAACAGCTACAGTCCGTGAGACATAGACCCACTATGCTGTTAAAAAAGGAATTTCAGGATTTTGAGCCAACAATTCTGAAGGTATGAAGTTATATTTCCAAGTCTGGATGGCAAGTGGCTTGCAGAGGAAATTGCAGATGGTAGTGTTCCTGTGTATTTGCTGTCCTTGCCCATCTAGATAGTAGCAGTCATGGATTTGGAAAGTGCTCTCTAAGGATCCTTGGTGAATTTATGCAGAGCTTCGTGTAGATAGTACACACTGCTGCTAATGAGCATTGGTGGTGGACGATCTAGTTATTTATGGATGTGGTGTATTCTTTGTCCTGAACGGTATCAAGCTCCTTGGGTGTTGTTGGAGCCACACTCATCCAAGCAAGTGGGGAATTTTCCATCACACTCATGACTTGTGACACAGCACTGCCAGCCCCTTCTCCTTAAGCAATCTATACACATCAATGTTACATATGATAACACAGTGTGGAGCTGGAGGAACACAGCAGGCCAGGTACCATCAGAGGAGCAGGAAAGTTGATATTTCGGGTCGGGACCCTTCTTCAACATCAACTTTCCTGTTCCTCTGATGCTGCCTGGCCTGCTGTGTTCCTCCAACTCCACACTGTGTTATCTCTGACTCCAGCATCTGCAGTTCATACTATCTCTCAATGTTACATATGACTAGCTTCTCCAGCATTTAGGCCTACACTTTAAGAACCTGCAATAAATCCTGCTTCACTCATGACCTGGATAAACTGCTGCTTTAGAGTTCTGAAGAAGGGTCCTGACCTGAAACGTTGACTTTCATACTCCTCTGATGCTGCCTGACCTGCTGTGTTCCTCCAGCTCCATACAATGTTGTCTCTGACTCCAGCATCTGCAGTTCTTGCTATCTCCAAACTGCTGCTTTAATCATTTTTGACATCAGTGTGACTCAAGATCTATTGTAATATGGCAGACTCTTTACTCCTAACTTTCCTAATCCTGTCTACCACCTACCGGGCAGAAGTCCAAAAAATGACAGAGTATTCTCCACTTGCCTGAATGCTGGCAACTCCAGCAATGCTCAAGAAACTTGATTGACAGTCATCCACCACTTTCAACTTTCACTCCCTTCACCATCAATGCTCAGTGACTGAAATATGTACATCTACAAGATGCACTGCAGCAGCTCGCAAACAGCCTTTGCATAGCACCTTCCAAACAAACCTTGAAAGATCTGGAAGGCCAAGAACAGCAACTGAATGGAAATGCCACCACCTGCAACTACTTCTCCAAGCCATACATCATCCTGACTTGTAACTTTTTTGCAATTCCTTTGATGCTGCTGGGTCATGATTCTGGAACTCTGTTCCTAACAACAGTGTGTTCACCATGAACTGCAGCAAGGGCAATTAGATGTTGGCCTTGCCAGTGACATATGCAGTGAATGACTAAAATAGTAAAATCTTAACTGCTGTATGAAATGGCCCAGAAACATACTGGTCAAACCAGTCCTCCATTCTGAAGTATGCAAGACATGCTAGGATTGTGATGAAATACTCTGCAGATGACTGCAGCTCCAACAGTGCTTAAAAAGCTTAACACCATCCTGGACAAAGCAGCCTGCCTGATGAGACCCTACCCATTGCTTTAAACATTAGCCCTCTCTGTCACAGTCTACAGTCAACAAGATGTTTTCCAGCAACTCTCAAACCTGTAACAGCATGTTCTGTATCAAAGATACCATCTTGAAGACAGGAACTGCAGCTGAATTAGAACATCACCACCACCAATTTACTCTTCAAGCCATGCACCATCTTGACTTGAAAGCATTACAATCCATTCATTGTCACCAGGTCAAAATCCAGAAAATAAAACCCAAATAGCACTGTGAGACAACTTTCACCACACAGATTGCAGTAACTCAAGAGGGTAGCTAGCAATGGGTGATAAATGCTCACTTTACTAGTGATGCACACATCTCATAAACAAATAAAAGCTTCATATATTTAACAATTGCTGCTGGCTTCAAAATGTGTACAGGCAGTATTCTTTTTTTTCCCCCTTAAAGAAACTGGGAAGCATTTAAGTCCTCCATTAACTATTTAATGTTTTATGTTGGAACCATTTACTGCCATGACCACTTCCTATCCTCCTCACAATTTGCTGGATCTGCCTTGTCACATGCGTACTATATTAGGCAGCCTCATACATCTTCAGTATATACTACCTCTCACTAGCCAGAAATAGGTGAACCATCCATATACACAAGTCACCACCTGAGGACCTACATTTGGGTTTGTCAGATGAGTCATGTCTTAGCCATTTCCAATTTACACGATCAGTTGCTACAAAGTTTTGCCATTGTCTCCTCAGTGATACATTTGGTTCAAGAGCACCTCTTTCTGTAGAAATGAAGGTTATGTTTTTTGTTTTTATGCTTGTATTTTCTCTAGTTCATCATTATGGGCCGCTCCCTCAAGACTTTGTGCTATGTGTGTCTTTTATTCCCCAATATTTAGACAAACTGTATTCTGTACTCCAGCTAGAGGAGTCTCTTTAAAATAAACTATCAGGCTAAACCTTAGGCTCTAAGCCAATAAAAATTAGTAATGTGGAAATGTGTCCACCAGTAGTCAGTGCACTGTTAAATAAATTCTGTTGCAAGGCATGAGAGAGAATCTGGATTGTTTAGATTGGACACCAAAGGCTGGAACTTTTGTGTTTTGCACAAGTCTGTGCTTTTGGAGGATTTGTTGCCCCAAGACTCATTGAACTTTCTTACCATATCTTACCAAATTCACCTAATTAATTACCAGTCTACCCTACGGCATCTCTTATGTCCAATTTCTGTCCTATCCAGTAACACATTGTTCCTAAACCAATTTGTTGGTCAGTGGGTATCTGTCAAAAGACTAGCATCCTTTGAATCTGCACCATTGTTAAAAGGAACCTAGGTGAGCACTGGCATTGTCAGAGTCAGAACTTGGCAAGAAAATGAAAATGGCAGTGTGAATCTCTGAGGGAGATCTGGAGGTGGTCTAGATGAAAAACATCCTCTTTCCGGAGGGGAAAGGGGCCATGCCATAAGACCCTGCCAGCCTGGTGCCACGTTGCCACCTGGGCCAGGGTTGTCTCTAGGGTGTGGAGAAATGTCCAGCAGTGCCACAGGAAGATCAGTGACCTGTTCCACCAGTGTAAGTGACACACTCTTCTCTCTGCCACCTCACACTTACTCTAACTCTGCCATTTCCCACAAAGGCTCATGCTCTGCCAATCTCACTACTGCATGCACTAACTTCCTTCACTCACTCTCGATAACCTCCCACACCACTCATCTGTATGCCCAATGTGCTGCCTCCTCAGTCCATCAGAACAGCTCACCACCTTTCCCCACGTGCAGTAGTACTAACAGCCATGCCCTTGACGGCAGTTTGGTCATAGGCAATGTACTTGTCATTCAGAGCAAATGGCGAGTTGAATCTACCAGGTATGCACTGTAGTTTCCTTGTTGAATATTCTTGACATCAAGCTTGTTTGGGAGCTTGGTAAAATGGGTAATTGAATATTAATGAGATGAGCTGTATCATGAGCAAGGTGTTTAACAAGCATTAATCCAGCGTTAATCCCCAAGTATCGGCATCTCACTGTTGTTTAACAAGAATCTTGGCACGCTGCTTGTGAAAAGCATACAAGGTGGTGTGACTCGTTCCCAATGTTGAGGTGGGCCCCATCAGACTTCTCATCTGATTCAGTCACAACCCTCGTCACTCAGACCCCAAAAGATTCTGCATTGAGGTCAGGAGGGGTTGTGGACCTGTGATTGCTGCATGAACTGGAATAGGAGAAGATATTGGAGATCTAAGAGAGAAAGACTAGAGTTAAGTGTGTGGCAATAGAATGGGCAGCATTTACTGTGAGGAGAGGATAAAGGAATGATTACATGGAAATCAAGTGTATAAGGATGAATTCTTGAAGGTTTCTCTACCACTAGAAAGTGGAATCATAGAATGGTGACAGCACAGATCAAGGCCACAACATTATCCTAGAGGGTAAAATCAGTAAATAAAACCTGTAGTACTTGGAACTGAACATACTGGTCATGCTGGATTTTGAAGTGCTCAAGACAAGTCAGACCAGAATATCTAATTTTCTTGTGAAAAGACAGGTGCAGTTATTACATCTTACAACCTGTTTCAAAGGGAGATAGGACTTGCAGCTGTTGTGATATTACCACAACTTCTGTCTCTTATATCTGTAATTTATAATTTTTATTGCATTTTCAACAGGTAGGTATAAAATCTTTTGAACAATGGAAATGTGTCCACGGTTAGTTTTAAAGCAATTTCATGCCATGAATCGTCAAAGAAATGCAGATTTTGTGAATTTAAATTGTCCCTACCAGGCACTTTTACTACGTGATGCCAATACTGTATATTATCACTATATTCAACATTTTCTGTGAGGATTTCTCAGCATCAATACAGGCTTCTGCAGCATGTCATGTGGCACTGGAATTACATGATCTGTGTATATTCATATGTATGTATTCAGTTGAATATGTGCAACCTTAAAAGTCGTGGCATTTTTATTTAGAAGCTGAATTTTGTTTTGTATATATATTTATCTATCCCCACAGGTGTTTGACCCCTGATTCAGAAGAACGACCAGACGTTGTGGAAGTAAGTGCAATGATTTCAGATATTATGATGAAATACATGGATAACTTATGCACAATGCAGATAACAATGGAGAAGAAGCTTGATCGGGAGAGAAGACGCACACAGAGGTATTTCATAGAAGCTAACAGGAATGTAATGAATTACCATCATCAGATCTCCATGCTATCACAAGTAAGCATTTTAGTTTTATTTGTTGGAATGTTATATAAGTTGTAGTCTACTGGATTCAGTGTAGAATTAGAAGAAATATTCATTCATGACCTCTTTTTGTATGGTGTCTGTTCTTTCTTTGACTTGTACGTTCTGAGCATTTTTTTGTCACCAGACTTAAATCTGAAAGATAATCAACTAGCTGACACTCATGTTCCAAACAATGGTGTTAATTATTCTCTACTCTGATCAATTGTGAGATTGTACTCTTGATTGTACTGTTTATCTAATACATGGTACAGTCACTCTTTAACTGGTAGCTTCACCAGATTGGCCCGCATTTTCAGATACACGTGCTATTGTTCTCAACATGCTTTTCCACATATTTAACTGAACCACAATTGGCCATATGGCAGAATAGTAATGGAGGTATATGGAACATACTGAGCCATATGCAATGTAATGCAATTCCAATGCTTTTAAGCCATATTACCTTATGGGTGACCAATTTTCAATATCTAAATGTGTTCTTAATCAATCCAACTACCCATGCTGGTAGTGCTGCACAGGAAAGTGGAGGGTGTTCTCGATGTGAAGCCGGAGCTTGGTTTAAACAGGCCTGTACAGTGGTCACTCTCACCAGTGTTCTTATCGAAAAATGCATCTTCAAAAGTTAAATTGGTGAGGTTGAGACCATGAAAATTCTTTGCTCATTTTGGTTCTATCACCAGCTGCTGGCAACTATGTGATGTTCAGATCTCAGCCTATTGAGGTTTTTTCGCACTCGTCACCACATTCTCCTTTTTTTGATTGGCCTTCTCTGTACATGAGCAACAATGTGAAACATATAGGCCAGCCCAAGAATATCTCCACAAAAGTTGACTATACTGTTCTGAATTTAATGTCACTCTATAGGAATTTTCATTGATTCCACTGACCAGGCAAGTATGAGTTACATTTTTATTGGCGCATTGTGCATTGACCTTTTGAGTATCTTCCACAGCAATTAAGATGCAGTATATAATTGCAATATTATGTAGGAAATTCTGCAGTTGAAATGGTGAATTATCTTCTACAGTAAAGTTTACTTTCTTGCATTAAAGGACCATTATGATAAGTCAAGTCTTGGAGGCAGCAGTGGAACAGCCAGCATGAAGAGTGAATCATCAGAAACCAATGACAGCCCATTAGATGACACACACACACAGCATAATAAAGATGGGGATGAGAGACTGAATGATGCAGTATTTATTGAGAACATTAATTCTGCTGAGAACACAGAAAAAGGTATAACTGAACTTCTTAACATTAAAAAGGTAGAGATGATGTACTGCAGTAAATGATTAGCATGTTAATAATGTTATTTAATACAGAATTAATAATACAAATAAGTTGGTCAAATGTATTTTATATTGTAATTATTTCTGACATTTTGAAAATGTGAATAGTCATAATATTTCAGAAATTTTGTACACAATTAGAATGTGATAATTTACATTGACTGTAGTTGTGATCTACTCTGACAGTATCCTTAAGGATTGGAATTGTAAAACAATTAAATGGTTTTAACATGAATTTTTATTTCATTGGTAACTGATACAAAATCCATGAACTTATTATTGTAACACTGGCCTTTTAATATGTCTTCAGTTTAAAATGTGTCAGTGTTACTTTCTGTTGTTCTGTAGATATATGTCTAGAAATGGATGATGAGTTGAACATTTCAGATCACTTCAGCAGTTCCAGTCCAAGCCCCATAAAGAATTCTACTCTGGGTAAGTGTAGTGGTTTAAAAAAAAAGCATCTATCTCCATGTGTTTACTTTTATTTTAAAAGTGCGTATGCCTATCTATCATAGCAGGACACAAATAGATTCTGGAATTCATATAATTTTTGTAAGGTGGGTACGTAATTAAGAAGTGATTTTACAAATTCTGCTCTTAGTTCAGACTTTCTCTTGCTGGAAATATATTTCTAGAGTACTTTAGTGCAGAATTCAGTTATGTAGCTTTCAGCCATGCTATCGAAGCATACTGTAGATAGGCAGTGGTTGCTGGCACCAAGAAGCATGTGCATTAGCAGCAATATTTCTTGTAAACTTAGTTACAATTATCAACTAGTTATACTATTTTAATGAACCAGTATATTGGGTTGCATTAACTGTTAAACAAAGTACAAATTTTCTTTTAATTTTCAAAAATCAGTTTATTATTGTGCACATGTGAATGTACATGTGCAGTCAGCAATAATTGGTGGTACATTACTTGAAATACCAATTAATGATTAATAAACTGGTATATTGTGAAAATAGTGTTTTACAGTGTTCACATAAATAAACTGGCAAAGTAAACTTGAATTTTCAATAAATTGTTGTTGGTGTGCGTGTGTGCACATATACATTTGGCAATTGTCAGTGGTACATGGTATGTGCATGGGTATCAGCAGATGGGTATACATCTATATTTTATGCTGTTGGCTTTAATTGGAATGACAAATGCAGGTACATCTGCTGAATGCACCTGAAAACATTGATTACTGTCATAATGTTAGTGACATTAAACAGGCTGATGCTGTGCTTAATTTAGTGAACACATCTGCAATGTCTTTGTTCATCACTCCTAAAACATAAGCAGGGCCCTCTTGTGTTGCAGGATGAGTGTCCATACCCCTAGACTGGGTTCAAGTCCCACCTGCTCCAGAGGTGTGTGATAACATCTCTGAACAGGTTGAGTAGAAAAATAGGTTAAATAAAAGCAATATGAACCTGGACAGATACTTACATAGTTACTCAACAATTTGCAAATGATAACAGTAGTTATTGTGTATTGGTCAGGATAAAGGCATTATGTATGTTACCATATTAGCTAAAGCGGAGCATGTGGAAGTAACAAGTCAGAGATGATTCAAGTCAAAAAAATCTCTTTATTACAAATATGCAGCTGAAAAATTCAAACTCTTAAGTCCCTTACTCTCTTAAAATTCCCCTCTTTCTCTCTGTCTCTCTCTCAACTGAAGTCTGTCACAATATGACATCCTCTCTTATTTATAAAACCGATTCTACAATGCTGCTTCACCATGCACCCTCATATGTCACACCAAACAAGCCATGCTTACTTTGTAAGCCAATATTATATTACACATTCTTAACTTGCAGGTGATCTTATTGAAAGATCAAAAAAGGGGATGATTAGGGGTGGTCTCTACCTCAAAATCTTTGTTTATCCTCCGTTACAAGGTTCCAGTTTCTCAGGTGGTAGTCAAACTATTCAGTTTTCTTGAATCAAATCACAAGCCAGGACACAAGTATACTACAAGAGAAGACTATCACATTATAAGTCACATCAGCACTTTTCTTTCACTGGAATATTCATTAATATCAAATCAATGTGTTCAATTCTGTCGCACTAAAGGTGTGTTGTTCCCAATTCCATTTGATGGTGGGTCATAGACTTTTTGTTAACTGTTATTCAAATTGACACATTCCATTAATTACTATTTGATCACATTTAGGAGCTCTATAGAAACTTTACTATTCAATGAAAATACTTTTCATATTTACGTAACATATGGTTCTAAGCATCACCAAGGAATGTTTTAGTTCTCCCAACATTTTTTAGCAGTATGAGTTTATCTGCAAATTTAACTACTGTCAAAACTAGAAATCTGTCTAAATGGCAGCACAGATGGGGGATTTTCAAAATAATTTGCACGCAATCTACTGAATCCTTTTATTGTACCCTCCTTAGGAACAATCTACACTCTCCCTGAATTTGTCAAAATATGACCATGCTACATAACCATTTAGTTAATCATTTAATTAATCAACTTAATCTATAAAAGTTAATAATTTGTCCAAATTTTCATTTATGTCCAAGTCATCAGTCTTGAAATCTGAAAAAAAAACTTCCTGCTTTTGAATGGTGGTAAAATACCCAAGGCCATACTTAGCAAGACCTGGACAATAACCAGATTTGGCCTGAAAATTAACATACATGGCACACAAGTGCCAGGGAATGACCATCTCTAATGAGAGACAATCTAAATATTTGATGTTATATTTGATGGCATTACCATCGCTAAATTCCCCACTTGGGGCTCATCATCAACTAGAAACTGAACTGGACTAGCTATATAAACACTGTGGCTAAAGAGTAGATCACAAACTTGGAATCCTGCAGTGAGTAATTCATCCCTGCTTACCCAAAGCCTGTCCACCATCTACAAGGCACAAGTCAGCAGTTTGATTGAATACTCCATGTTTGCCAGGATGAGTACAGCTCCAACAATATTCAAGCTTGACAACATCCAGGAAAAAGCAGCCTGTTTGTTTGGCACCACATCCATAAACATCCATTCCCTCCACTACTGATACTCAGTAGCAGCAGTATGCACCATTTACAAGATGAGCTGAAGAAATTCACCAAGGGTCCCTCAGCAGCAACTTCCAAACCCATAACCACTACCATCTAGAAGGACAAGGTCAGCAGCAACATGCAAATGCCAGCAACTCAAAATTCTCCTCCAGTCCATTGATGATCCTGACTTGGAACTATATCACCATTCCTTCAGTGTTGCTGGGTCAAAATCCTGGAACACCCTCCCTAAGGCCATTGTGGGTCTACCTATTAAAAAAAACTGGACTGCAGTGATTCAAGAAGTCAGCCCATCACCACATTTTCAGAGGCATCTGTAAGGGCAATAAAAGTAGCCAGCTGACATCTCACAAATGAATAAAAGAACAAACCTTGTTTCTTATTTAGCAAAGAAGTAACTCAATATCACATGGTTCCTTCATTTTACTACTGGTCCTAAAGTTCACTTTCAGAAAATGGGTGGATAATCATCCCAAATACTTCAGATTTTGATTGACTCCTCTCTCTGAACATTTCTCCAAAGTACTCTGGTTAGCAAAATGTTTAGTTTTAAATCTTTTGACTTATAAACTGCTAACCATCTTTTCCTACTACTATTAAATACCAGAGGTAAAAGGTTGATTAGGCAGGGTCCAAGCATATAGTTTTCTAGTCAAGAGTTTTATTCCAACTTACACATCACAAAACCTCAACAAACTGATTACTTGTTCCTCATATACATCTAGGATATTATCCAGTTATCCTTTAATTAATATAGCCTTCACCTGTCCCCTATTTCCATTTGACCTCAGGTATTCCTGATTGACCTTACTTGATATTAACATTGCAGTCCTGACAAAACTGTTGTTACAGATTCCACAATAAGTTGTGAGATCTTCAATCTCTTTTGAGATTTCTGGCCACCACATTGCTCACCAAACCTTTGCTCTAACATGGCAATGCCTAATTGTCCCGATGGATCCTTTCCAAGACAACTTCTCAACTGGAAGCTGGAATTACCAGTCTTCACCCATACAAGAGAAAGCTGTTTATGATTTTGAGATGCTGTTGATGTTGACTTGTTGGCTACGGGTTCTCCTTGGCCATGTGAAACATTTTGTTTATGCCATAGTAGATAATCTCAGTAGATTCTTTCTCTTTGATTTTGGGCTCAATTATAAATCGAGGAAGCTCAAAGAAATCTTCTGCTGGTTACTGTTGACTGATTGGCCCACACGGTTTATTCCTTGGAACACATTGAACTGCTTCTGCTATTTCAAGGATGTTGTGGTTAAGTGATGCAAACATGATAATTGTTGATTGTGATTTAAGTATGTATTTTCAACTCTATTGCACTCTATGTTTCAGTGTTACTTGCAGTATATCTTTAATGTTGGAAGTTATTCCATCTGAATTATGTAATTTCATATTCCTCGGACATGTTATTTAATCTGATGAGACAGTAACACTTGCCCCTTTGCCAAGCTTAAAATTAATGATGGGTCAGTTCTGTCAAACTCAGTTTGGTGAATTATCAATTTGTGTGGAATGTCTTGAGTATTTTTTTCTAATGGTTGTAATTCTATAGCATTACCATTTTTCCATGAGTAGCTTTTCCTGCTCTGAAATTGCATTCTACTTCTGCACATTTCTGGAAGTGATCTATCATAGCTGGATATTGTTTGTGCTTACGAGGACTTTTTGTTCTACATTGCCAACATTGGATTTTAGCATCTGATGTTTGACCTTGAGAAACTAGAAAATGTTCAGAAAAGATTTCTGAGGATGTTGCCAGGGTTGGAGGGCGTGAGCTATAGGGACAGGTTGAATAGGCTGGGGCTACTTTCCCTGGAGCGTTGAAGGCTGAGGGCTGACCTTATAAAGATTTGGAAAATCACAAGGGGCATGGTTAGGGTAAATAGGCGAGGTCTTTTCCCCAGGGTGGGGAAGTCCACAACTAGAGGGCATAGGTTTACGGTGAGAGGGGAGATATAAAAGGGACCTAAGGGGCAACTTTTTCACACAGAGGGTGG